GGACGAAAACTTGGTATTTTGATGAAAATACGATGTGTGAAGATTCTGGATTCGAATTGTGGAAGAGCTGAGGGTGCACATTGCTGAAGTCCTATGCTAGAACAACTCATGTCCTTATCTTTCTAGTTTTAAACGGCTGTGTGGCTACAGTTATTCCATGATGTAAACTCCTTTAAAAATTATACATCCTTCCTTATTTACAATTTAAAAGAGAACAGCATATTTTTCTGATCAACTACAAAATATCAGCCAATCCCGATTTATCAACCAAACTATAGTTAATCAGTATCTTATTAGCTTCCCCCAATTAAAATTTCAGGTATAAAGTTCTAGATCCATCTAATAATCTAGTCATGAAACTACAATTTTTCAAAAATCAGTGTATCACAAAGTAACTTGAGGCAGTTAAGCTAGGAATAAACGACTAACTTATGGTTTACATTGTGTGACGAAAATGCATTATGAATTGACCAAAGTTCAAAAAATTCGAACTACTGATTTATGATTCAGTTGTTTTATGATTTCATTATTACTATGAAGTATATACATTTTTTTGGTTAAAACTGGTGTAAAGTCGTCAGTGCATATTTCAGAAAATCCTAATTGTCAGTATAAGTGGATTTAGCCATACTACCACTGAGAACCAGGAAAAACCAGATAATCGTGTTGTCCTAGTTCGAGACTCCTCAGCAATAGGCATTCATGATACGGCATCTGATAAGTGAACCCAGAACCTTCGGTTTCGAAGATTGACATTTACACTATTGGATGCCGGCTAAATATTCAAGAGTTTAGGAGTTCGCATGCGAATCCGAAGGTCCTGGGTTAGGTTCTTGGATCTGAGTTTATTAATGCACACTGCTGAGAAGTCCCATTCAAGGACAACATGGTCATCCAGTTTACCAAAATTCTCAATGATAGTCTGACTAAGACTATTTTAAAACTTAAACAATAAAACGCCATGTTTAGCCCAAAACAACTAACCAGCATAACTTGATATTTGGTGGTTTCGATTTCTTATGATAAAATATATGCGAACTAAAAAATCCTCATAAACCAAGTTAGGTGAACGGAAATAGTCTACAGAAAATCCCAAATTGCTCAATAGTAATATCTTACACTGTGAAGCTGAATGGAACAAGCTCCGATGCCAAAAGAAGCATAAGTTCTCTCAAGATCGCTGGTACACTTTACTAAGAAGTACTAACTAACACGAAACTTAATTCACTTGGTTTCATGTTGACTATCTCCAACTATTTATCATCGCAACATAGTGCATGTTATATCGGGTCACTTAAACTATTCACTCTTTATAACTTGATAGACAGAATTCGATTACCGCTAAAGGACTAAACAAGCATGGCATTGATCATTTCTCAGTGATCAATATATTGTTCTTCAACCAAGTTGGTAAAAAAATAACGATTACAATATATTTAAGATAAACAGTGACAAATAGTAAAATGGTCAACTATGGGATAAAAGTAATTCAGGTATCTACTACTGAACAGAATTGCTAAAAATATACATCAGACAACCTTGACAAAATGTACTAAAAGCAGTTGGCATTTATTGTCTTTTATTTTTTCAAAATGTGATAAATTGGTATTCAATCCGAACGACATATAATATCGAAATTATTTTAGAATTTTCAGTTCAAGTAAATTTGGGAGTTTTAATATTTCGGATCTGTAAAAATTCAAATAAAAGAGGAACTTGAATGTTTTATTTCAAAGCATTATGAGAAACGAGTGAGCGGATTACAATTGAGATACTAAGCATATTGAATAAAAACTATCCCATCCTTCTACCGATACATAGTGTCTACATATTTCCTAGGGACGTAACAAAAGATAACTAGTTCCTATTTATAAAAAAATTGCTATTCAGTAAAAAGCGACTGTTTTTATACTTTCTAGCCAATCTAAATTTGCGGCGGAAAGAATGCTTTAAGGGTTTATTTTAATTAATTCAAAAACAAAGCATCGAATAAAATCATTTAGAACATATCTGGAAGTAATTTGGAGTCCAGATTAGAAAGCAACCAAATTCATCAGTTAAGGAATGATCTGTTACTATTTAATCTACCAATTAATTTTAACAATATGACTTAGATATTTCAGTAAAAGATAAGTTTCTAAAACTTGTACGTTTTGCTACCCACTTAAATTCAGTATAGTCGGACGATAATGATTTCAATGTAATGGACGTTTAACTTCATATATTTTCTCTTGACTTAACATGTTAAGAATAGCCGGTATACCAAAAGTCGAATAGGAAAATGATGTTGGATACAAAGTTTTCAGAAATCAATTAATGCAGACAAACGGTAAACGATGTGAGTCAGAGATGCCAAACGTTCCTACTTGGTGACTAATGGATGACTCAGTATTTGTAAGCATGATTTAAAGGGGAGACATTTAAAGTAGGAAGACCGCTAAGTCTTTTCCATTTGAAATTCTTAATTCAGTTGTATTCTATAACATGAATGAAGAGATGATCAAATGTTACCATTTTTTGTACACATCTAAAAGGGATCACCTGAGTGAACAGTTTTAGTCAGATTTAAAAGTTCCCTTTATCCTGTAAACGGTAATTAATTTATTGAATATAAGGTTGAATCATGCAGAAAGCGAAACTGTCATTAGGATTTAAATTTTATACCTCGAAAACAATTACTGACATGATTGATATAGGTGATCAGTTCAAAACTGTAATTGACCATGTTATGAATTTTTTAAAAATGGCCGTCTCCAATTTGTTGTGATTTTATATCCTGCTTTTTTATTACGTGATTTAACCACCAATCGGAATACGAATTGTTCAATCTTAGCACTGTGCCAAACCAATGACATTCGACCGGTATGAGCAGCCTAGCGTCTTTATTGGTCCTTTGTCCACCTAGGTCTTCCAATTGAGTCCAGAACACCAATAACAGCTTGTTATGCGAATAATTTATTTCAAGAATACTCGGTTTTTATACCAGACAGACCACATCACACCATAAAATAGAAAATAACATTTGTACAAGATCAAGCCAAATATGGCTGTGGGAGACAGTAATCAATAAACTGAATATAATTTAGTAACAGTAAATCGTATAATAATAATTTATAAGCGAAAATGAATATAGATACATACAATCTAATCACTGAACAGTTATACAAAAGGAATATATATATGGAATAATAGTCAGTTAATAGATCATGGAAGTTACCTGTACTTATGTTTTTGCTAGGATATAACAGACCAGTTGAACAAACTGTTACTATTTTAGAATTCATGCATCGTGATATACCTTAGGCCACTAAAATTATCTGACAAAATATTTGGCATCGATCAAAACTGTTCATAACTCACTTCCAAGTCTAACAAGTAATATAATTTATGCATTTTATCATGTTAGGAATGCTAATAGGAAACTCGGTGATTTAAACTGTGTCATTTAATGATTTGTCACTGAGCATTCTCGTATGGGGCAAAAATACGTACTTCTCTTACTCGATTACTAACAAAACACTTCTGATTGAGAGCACAATTATGTCATGAGAATTCATATTCAAGATCTATTACCAGTTTTATATCCCAGTGTAATGAAACATAACATCATCCGAAACATAATATTGTAATGAAAGTGAAAACAGGTGGGGGCAGCCATTGTTAAGAATGTCTTGGTAAAATATGAGAACCATACATTGAATACTTCATTTGCAAATTTCCATCACTTATTCTTTACATTCTGTATGATTCTTTTTATTTATAATTCCTTTTTATTTCCATTTCCATTCTCTTCAACTTGATCTTCTTAGCCTTCTGCTGCCAGGATTTACACTTTTGATTGGCGTTACATACTACTTATGTTGACAGACATAAGTAGCATACACCAAACCATATACAAATAAGATCATAGTATAACAATACGAATTAAAAATTTTCATAGAATATTTAAAAATAAAGAGTATTAGAGTGAATGATCGTTTTTCACAACTTCTTCATCATCGGGCTCTACAGTTTAAAATACGAATGAAGAATGTTTTCCATCAATCTATAGGTTAGTACAATCAAATATTGGTTATGTAAGCATCGTATATACAACCGTAACATTATTTTATCCTTGAAATTATCATTTGTAATAATATTGTAAAACTTTCAAAGTTACATGTACTAATTCAGTTGAATTGATTGAGTTGAGGATAATAATTAGCACTACTCATTGAATTTGTTTTAAGTACAATGTTTTTTATAATCGTTTTTTAAATTAATCAACAGCAGTCATTCAGAGTCATACACATGAACAAAGTTAAAACTTTAAGAATTTCTCAAGTGTATAATGGCATTTAAGCTAGTATGCTGCAATCTAATAGTTTATATTTCCCAGGTTTACATCACAGACTAATCTTAATAAGACGGCCATTAAAAACCAAAAACCATTGGATAGATGCTCCACACCAATATGGTACTACTCAGTAGTGCATGTCCAAGATACCAGCGGAAATCGAACCTAGGACCTTCAAGCCTCACAAGGAGCTAGCATCCAATGTTTTGCATGTCTAACTTCAATCAATCAGTGAATTCTGACTCAGCGGTTTGCAGGTTAAGCGCTCTCTGTGAGATCTGTAAGTGCTAGATTCGATTCTTGGTGAGTGGGCATCTCTGAGGAGTCCCATAATACGACGAAACAACTGCCTATTGGCCTTAGACCAGGTAGTATCTTTTTATATGTAAATTGAGCATGGTGTAAAAAGTTAGTAACAAAATGAATTATGTCTTTATGATATCCCAAGGAGTATAAGTTTCTACTCATTGAGATATTAAAGGAGTTCCTGTTATTTGTACATTTTATTATTATTATTGTTGATGTTTTTATATGAAAAACCTAAAGTGACGAGTGATCTGAGTAACCAATGAAAACGTTATGCCATCTTATTGGTGAATAAATACACAAATTGTATTTTTACTTCCATTAATAATCGATCACATACAAAAAAGGAGCAAATGACAATAGATGAAATACACTGTTATTAAGGTTGTATGCGTGTATTTGTTTATTTATTTATTTATGTATGGTGTGTCTAGTACAAAGCAGAATATTAAACTAATTGCACTTTACATGTGTACACTGACACATTTGTATGCACATTGTGTGTGTAGGCGGACAAAACATAAATTTGACTAGTTATGAGTTTAATGCCTAACGATTATATTTCTATTGAAAATTGTACGTATTATTCATATATTGGATAACAAATCATTTTTGAGTTTGCTTTTTTTGTTTTAATAATGATGACACACATTAGAAATATGATGAATCAGTATTGAATTCTATATCACTGATATTCTTCTTTTTTTGTACTATCTCAAATAGAAACAATGTCATTATAAAATGAATGAATGAATGAATAGTTATCATTTACACCATTGATATATTGTTAAGACATGTTTCCTGTCATATTATATTATAACAGTTAATACTGTCATTAAAAGTATTATGAAGGTTAATTTAAAATATCATATTTACAATCATTTTTGTTCAATAGTTCAATAGATTCATTTCATTTACATCCGAAAATTCAAAAAGTGATTTCACAAAATTGTAAAAAATAAAGTTTGTAAAAAAGAATAAAGAAAAGAAAAATAAACTAAAAGATAATTTATATCATAAATTATTAAATTCATATTGAAATTTCAAATAATAAAAACCAAAAAAAAAGAAATGAAAGTTGAATTCGTTTTACCTTCGGCTCTTCAATATGGTGATTGTATTGAAGTGAATGGAAAAGCTGGTAATAACAAGTAAGTAGTATATATGTATATATATGCATTTGAAATAAATATTTGGTTTTCTGTAGCGTCATGAATGCATTGGGTTTTAAGAACAAGAGGTAAAGCTTTATACACACAATTACTTTCCTCAAACCATTACATGTACTTGGTATCATTGAGGTGCAAATTATTTTGAGGGGTAGAATAATTAGTTGACAAATTTCTTATTTTTATTGAGCTGTTTCTGGTAATACCTATCTATATGTGAACACTGGATTGTAGACAGCTTTTATTTTCATAAAAGCTAGTTCAGTAGGAGTTAGGAATTTTCGATAACTCTCTCTGTTCATTTATCAATATTTGAAATTGTACTATATTTCAATTGAATTTAAATGTCGGAAATATTCACGTTAAACTACAATTGGAAACTTCGTGGATAATTTGTCTTTAAATTATTGTCTGCTACAGATTATAACAGTTTTATATCAACTCAATGACTATCAAACTGTTATATTGTTAGTTTTGCAAAAGTTACAGGGAGACCGAAAATTTTATATCTTTATGACTCACACTACAGGTTAATAAATATTTGTAGAAGATTAATATTTTTTTGCACATTGTAACCACCTATATGAAGTCATATAAACAAAATAGATAAAAATCTCAAGTTTTTCAAGCCGATTCTTATAACATGTATACTGTGGTAATGCTTCGTTTACTAGTTATAGATTATTTATAATAACAAGTTGATAAATGTTGTGTAGATTTTTGAGTTTTAATTGAGATTATGAATCGAGCCCCATAATAGGACAAAACAGCCGTCCAGTGCCCCCATGTTTCCAATAGTAGAGTTCTAGTGAGATGCTGTGACAAGTGGAGTTAATCCGTGTCGAGTGGAGACAGGTATCTACCTTAGACAATGGAAGATGGTCGCACAATTCCGTGGATTGGTTGAAGTTAGACATTAACACTGTTGTATGCCAGCTCAGTGATGTAAGGATTAAGCGTTCGCGCTTAGAATCTCACGTGCGAGATCGTGGATGCGCACCGCTGAGAAGTCTCGTAATAGGACGAAACAGTCGTCCAGTGCTTCCAGATTTTCAATAGTGGTCTAACATTGGTGAATTTATGATCTCAATTAAAACTCAACAATCTCCACAACTTCATACTGATCTAATGTTTTTTGAACTTACTAAGAAAAATTGTAACAAACTTACAGGTTATTAATTTTTTATCGTTTCTATACTACCAGAACTGTTTAGATTTTACATGTGATAACATTTACTGTGTACAAATACATAATGTAAATTTATAAGGCTTGATACTTTGTTTAGTACAGTAAACTATTAAACGTAGAAATTAAAACAATTCAATAACTAGTTGACTTATTTATATGAACTTATAAAACGTAATGTGAAATAATCAGTAGGAAAAATACACATTTATGTTTGTCTTTTTTCGTTGTTTTTCTTTAAATACCATCGCTAAATATACAAATTAATGGTTACGTGTAATAATTATTTATTCCAGCTGTTCCCTTAATCAGATTATGGTTGGTTGAAATAAAACATAGGTCAATACAAGCTTCCTACTTCTCCATTCGTTGTTATCATGATTTTTGAAAAAATTCACTTTTTTAAACGAAATCTAATTCACACTAGGATAAATTAAAACAAACGTTTAAAAGAAAAAAAAATTTGGTCAGTATAAATATATTGATCAGTATGATATTAATGTTTACACACTAAAGATTGTACAACAATACAAACAGTACAGGGACGATGTTATAGTTTTCATCATAAACTTACATAAACTATAATACAAAAATGCTCTATAGCCATATGGATGAATGATTTTCAAACGTAAATCCAAGACATACCGTGTAACTAGTTCATCTGCAAAGTATAGTGCGACCGGGTCAGAGTTTGTCAAAAGATTACTGATTTAGAGCTAGGATTTGAGTTAATATTGACTTATCTATTATATGATACAAACACAGGCAAAGTTGAGCGTTTTATTTGTGTACTTCCATTGTCTTTAATCTGTGATGATAATAAGTAATTTTCTGTTATCAATATAAACATTTTGGGCAGTATACATAGGTATTTCTACAAATTGTTTGTATGCGATATTTGGATTTTGTGCAAAAACTTAGAAGTTACTTCCCTGTTTCTGATTAGTATTTGTCCTTTATACCATGCTTTCACAGTGAGCTGTTTATTTTATCTAGTCTTAATTGACTTTTGTTTTTGTTTAATAAATACAAAATTAATTACATTATCAAATTAGCATAATTTTACAAAATTTAAAATTTAAAAATGTATTACTATGGTCATTTGTTATAAATAAATGGTTAGTTGCTTCAATCTTGGATACGATTTCTTTATAATATACACTGCTAATCTTATCAAGCGTGTGAAACACAAAACAAAATCAGTCGTTTAGCAATTGATGAAATTTTTAGAGGGAAAAAACACTTTTCAGTTTTTTTAATCTATATAAACTTTACAACAAGTAATGAGTTAATGTTTTGTAAATATTTATTTATTTATTTAAACACATAAATACTGGTACAGAGGGGGCACCAGATATATATGCGCCACACAAATCTCATTTGACTTGTGTGAGGGCCGTGATACTGCCCAAGTGCCCAAACTGAAGCAGGTGGTTTTCTTATGGAGCCACACCCCATCATATTTCGGGTATGATAAAGTTTATAGGGCTTGTATCATTTTAACTAATAAAAACTAAAACAAAATACTCAAAATATACGATCTATTTTAACCATACATGAACGGTAATAAGTATTAGGCATGTTCCCAATTCATTCAACTATCGAATAATATGACTTCATATATCAGAATAGAGATTTGGGGATATTGTAGTTATTTTTAATAGTTGAATTCATGAATTGATTTAAGCTAGACCATTACTGAAGTGTTTCCAAATTTTCAATGGTGATCTAGCTTAAATGAACCCATGAATTTAACCCATTAAGACTTCAGATATAACAATGATAACTTAGTAATCATATGGTTTAAAATTAACTTGTAAGTTGGTTTTCATGAATTTTCTAATCTATAAGATGATCTTACTATATTCGTAATGGTTATAAACTAACAAAATTGATTTATTTAACTTTTGTTTAACTTATACAATTTTGTTTTAAATTCTGCTCTGTAATTTAAAACCAACACATAGTAGTCACATAATAGTATTATTCTGAGGTTGAGATTATATATATATAAAGGAATGTTTGCTTCTTATGAAAATCGATATAATATAGTAAGCAAAAGATATTTAGATGATTAAATTAATCGTATAACTCTTTAGAAATATTTGGCAATATACGGTTATTATTAGTATTACTACTCTTGTAACGAACGAAGAATTGATTAAAGTAAACCAATTCGGTGTATTAGGTAAAATTATATACTGCATCTGTACAATATGAAAACAATACGTTGAATAAATCATTAACACGCCTTTCTTGAATTGTCTCTTATAAGCTACATCATCCTATCATGCCTGTTGTTACTCGGACTGTTTTTATTTTTTCTCTTTTCCTCAGGTTATTCTGTCAGTAAGAATCCTACTTCCAATTTCTGATACATACAACTTATATGTGTCCCTTTGATAAATTTGGCTAGTGTAATAAGAAAAAGGAGATTATTAAAACTATGTGATTGAGTCACATTACACTGTATTTAACAGTTTAAACGTGTGTGCGGCCATACATGTGTACGGAGGAATAATCGTGATCTCAAAATCAGGGTGTCTGAATATGTACCTAGATGGTTGCGAAACAAATAAAATCAAACGACTCAATGGTAGTGGATAGTAAACATACATCATCCTCTTTTACCAAACATATAGTTGAAACAGGTCGTAAGATTGGTCTTAACACGGCTTTTGTGGTATTGTTCAAAAATTCGAACGGGCATATACTATGGTTTATTGAAGCCTTAGACATACGGAAACTTAAATGCGTTTATGTATTCAAAAACGGTTTGTTCTCACCTTCAACCTATCTTGGTAATATTAGCTTATTATCCAGAATGATGGTTCTTTATATCGTTTTTCATATTATTTTCTTTGTCGTCTTTATCTTCTCTTACCCTCCATTTATATATATATATATATATATATATATATATATATATATATATATATATATATAAATATATTGCAGGCCTATTGAAGATAGAATAGTGTTACTAGTGTTTTTAGTTGTTAGGTGTGTGTCTTGAGAATTATTAGATATACTATTATATATACCATGCTAAGTAATACTGCTATTATTAATCAGATTCTTTCCGGATGTTTATGTTCATATTGACCAAATTTTTTACTGATATCACAGTGTGGATTCCACAAATAATATATTATTATTAGCCTCATTCAATATTATACTTTTGGTACAATATAGAATTCTCAGCACAAAGTATTTCTAGAAGTTTCTGTTTCCTACTTCTTGGCTGATCCTGACAATAAATATTGGGTGGTCGCCAGTTAGACGTTAGCAGTCTATTAAGCTGACATCGAAATAACGTACATATTTTCGCTCTATATACTCTGATTGGGCATTTTGTAACTTGTACAGCGAAAGATTCTACACTTTTCAGAAACGCACTTAAATAGGTTATGCGATCAATAACCATAAGGATGTATTAAAACAAACAAAATTAGATAACTTATTGAAATATATAAATAGCAGGAACAGGTAGCCCAGATGTTGAAGCAGCACGCGATTGATGATTAGTTGAATAATACATTTTTTTCTTAATTTATTCATATTGATGTTACAGTGCTCATTTATTCAAAATTATTTTATGTTATCGTCTTAATTAACGGATGTAAACGACTTTGAAATACTGCCTCACATCAAGAAATAAACATACACTACATCAAAATGCTCAGATTCTTTTAATTATACACCCTTAATTATTTTTAAATGTTGAAGTAATCTATTTCAAAACATGTTTGATAAATAAACTAATATCCATATTTAGACAGGATGGTGGTTGGAG